GTGAGCAAGGGGGGGGGGGAGGGGAGGGGAGGGAGAGGGAGATGTCCTAAGCCAGTTCCTCCCCGAGTCTCATCTTACAGCATCTCCATTCTCCTGGTTGTTTGGGCACAACCTGTTGGGTCACCTGTGACCCTTCCCTCTCTCTGACCCCAAAGCTTTCTAGCTCTCTCTTTGAAGTATGTCCAGAACCTCACTGCCATCCTGCCAAATGTCAGGCCACCACATTGTCTCTGGCCAGATCACTGAAACTCGCAACTCATCTCTTCACTTCTACCTGTCACCCAGTAAGTCTGTTAATCCAGAAGCCAAATGAGTCTATGAAACCACCAGCCAGACCCTGTCAAAACCCTGCTCAGAACACCACCGCTTCCCACGGCACACCGAGGAAAGTCCACAGAAACCGAAGTGACCTTTCACCTCCCTCCTCATCTTTCTGATCTCATCTGCTCATTTAACCCCACCTCTGTGGATGCTCAGCTCTTCCTCAGATGCAAGGAACATGCAAACATTCCCTCTCCTGGAACTCGGCCTGGCCCAGCCCATCTGCCTGACTGGCTTTGCCACTTTCTTCAGTCCACACTGAAAACCCACCCTGGCAATGACATCATCCCAGGAAACCATTTTCCAACACCACCTTCTCCCTTCTCTCTTTCCCTGCTTCCAAGCATTTCCCGTGCTGCTGTTCTTGTTTATCATTTACATTCTCTACCAGGTCCTAATCCCGTGAGAGGAGGTGATTGTGTGTGTTTAGGTCAATGATCCATCCACTCCTAGTACTCACAATGACCTCTTTGGTTATTGCTTTTTTTTTCCTTTGGTTGCGGGCTTGAACTCTGGGCTTGGGCGCTGTCCCTGAGCTCTCCAATTCAAGGGCAGTGCTCTACCACTGGAGCCAGCCACAGCACCACTTCCAGTTTTCTAGTGGTTTATTGGAGATAAGAGTCTCACAGACTTTTCTGCCTGGGCTGGCTTTGAACCATGATCCTCGGATCTCAGCCTCCTGAGTAGCTAGGGTGACAGGCGTGAGCCACCGGTGCCCAGCTGTTTTTTTTTTTTTTTTAAGCTACATAATTCCACCCATCTATCTATTCATTCAATCCTTCCTTCACTCAGTTTTCCATCATGCATTTTCTGAGCAGTCATAGACGGGGATGTATGTTAAGCATTCGAGATGAAGCTCAGATGGAGGTCTATATCTCAAGAGAAATTTGTAGGACTGTCCAACATTACATTTGCACCCCTGGAGTAATAGCGTAATCAAGTATAGTGATACTGACTTGGAACTTACTATAGTCCAAGAATTGTGGCACATATTTACTTGTCTATTTGTCATAACTACTCAATAAGGTCTATGCTGCCATTATCTTTGATAAATAGCCTAGAAAACTAGAGCTTGGAGAATACTAAGCCACACACAGCTTCTAATGGGAAGAGCAGGTATCTAAACCAAGGCTCTTTAAGTCAGCCTGGGCCTGTCTGCTGCTTCTGTGCAGAGACTTAACCCATGCAGTCAGGCTAGAACAATTACACAGGCTCCTACGTGGGAGGATGCATGGGGAAGGAGCCCCTGATGGAAATCCAAAATAAAGGCCTCAAGGAAGATTCACGTGCTTTTACTAAAGTTTGGAAGAACACAACTGGGCCCTCTTGAAAAATGCTTTAGCACAAATGTTTCACATCCTCTTGAAAACATGTGTGCATCCACAGATGTGCTCATACTTGCTCTACAACTGCTGAACCATGGGAGTAAGAATTAGAATTAATATAAAAAGACAACAAAGTCCTAACCAGGAGTGCAATAGCTTCACCATGAGGTCAAAGACTCCCTGTGGCATTCAAAACCAGTGTGGACTGAGAGCAACCGCTCACATGCGTTCAAACCCAGGCTGTGTGACGGGACACCACCGTAACCACTCAGTTTCCTGGCCTATCCCACTGTGTTGTTAGATTCCATAACTACTCATATCTGACTGTAAGGAAAGTCCCTTCAGTGTCCCTTTGACCAAATGGTAAGGTCTCACCTGCTGGCCTCTGGCATGACTTGGCAATGTACTTTAGAGATCGTTGGCATCCTATTCAAAAACTCTTCCATTAAATGGAAAGGAGTCCAGAAACTCCTTTGAGATTCAGGTTTCATGTACTAAATCAGAACCTAGCTGTCAGAGGTTTAAGAATCTTGAATGGAAACACTCCAGATCATCTCCATATTTCAGAGAGAGATGGGCCTTCCTATCTCTCCATTCTCAATGTAAAGGTGAAAGCTTTTCACATGAAACCACAACGGCTCTGTCTCTAGAGTCCCACTCGGTTCTGCAGGTCTCCCTTAACCCCCCCACGCGTGGGCAGACATGGGACCCTGTATTCAGGTAGGCAGAGGAGAGAGAAGCATCACTGGGGCTCAGGTGGCCCTGGGGAAGTGCTGGTTCTACTTGTCTAGAGCAGGGGTTGCTGGCCAGCTCCAGAAAAAAGCTTCTGGTACGGGGAACTCTTCATCAGGAAAACTCAGAGAACATCTCACCACAGCTGCCTGGCTGGTCCTCCGGTTTCATTAAAAATAAACTACTTTATTCATCACTTTTTATGTACTAGGCACTTCCAAAGTGAGTAAGATGCAGCCTCAGCCTGAAGAACGCAAGCTGGAGAGTCTGACAGATGAGCGACAACCAGAAAGTGCTACAGCAGCAGCAAGCATGGAGACATTCCAGGAGCTGTGGATCTATGTCAGGAGGAGCTGTGGATCTATGTCAGGAGGAGCTGTGGATCTATGTCAGGAGGAGCTGTGGATCTATCATGTCAGGAGGAGCTGTGGATCTATGTCAGGAGGAGCTGTGGATCTATGTCAGGAGGAGCTGTGGATCTATGTCAGGAGGAGCTGTGGATCTATGTCAGGAGGAGCTGTGGATCTATGTCAGGAGGAGCTGTGGATCTATCTATGTCAGGAGGAGCTGTGGATCTGTCTATGTCAGGAGGAGCTGTAGATCTATGTCAGGAGGAGCTGTGGATCTATGTCAGGAGGAGCTGTGGATCTATGTCAGGAGGAGCTGTGGATCTATGTCAGGAGATGCTGTGGATCTATCATGTCAGGAGGAGCTGTGGATCTATCATGTCAGGAGGAGCTGTGGATCTGTCTATGTCAGGAGGAGCTGTGGATCTATGTCAGGAGGAGCTGTGGATCTGTCTATGTCAGGGGGAGCTGTGGATCTATGTCAGGAGGAGCTGTGGATCTATCTATGTCAGGAGGAGCTGTGGATCTATGTCAGGAGGAGCTGTGGATCTGTCTATGTCAGGAGGACCTGTGGATCTATGTCAGGGGGAGCTGTGGATCTGTCTATGTCAGGAGGAGCTGTGGATCTATGTCAGGGGGAGCTGTGGATCTATGTCAGGGGGAGCTGTGGATCTATGTCAGGGGGAGCTGTGGATCTGTCTATGTCAGGAGGAGCTGTGGATCTGTCTATGTCAGGAGGAGCTGTGGAACTATCATGCCAGGAGGAGGCAGGAGAGCTGTTCTGGATCCTTCCATGGGAGGCTTTTTTCAAAGGAAAGTGCTGGTGCAGAATCAGGAGTCCCAGGTAGTGCGGGAGCCTGTGCCAGAGGCCTGCGGTGGGCTCACAGAACCGCGGGGAGGAGGAGGCCAAGCCTGGGACCAGTGTCCCCGCTGGAGAGGGGGAGGGGGGAGAGCAGGGGCAGGGGGAGGGAGGAGAGCAGGGGGAGGGGATGGGGATGGGGAGGGGGAGAGCAGGGGCAGGGGGAGGGCAGGGGGAGGGAGAGGCGGCGGCAGAGCCTCTGGGCCCCGGCACCCTTGCCGCGGGGCTCGGGGCGGCTGCAGCCGGGCTGGCCACCGGTCCCGCGGGGATGGCAGCCCTCTCTCCGGGGCCGAGCTCCTATCTCCGGCCGCAGCCCTCTCTCCCGGGCCGAGCTCCTATCTCCGGCCGCAGCCCTCTCTCCCGGGCCGAGCTCCTATCTATCTCCGGCCGCAGCCCTCGTTCCCCGCCCACTTTCCACCGCCCGGTGCCGGGCAGCGCGTACGAGGCCCCGGGCGGCGGCCTGGCGAGCCTCTCCGCAGGGGGGACCCGCCCAGCCCGGGACCCCCGCGCCCCGCCCCGCGTCCCGGCCCGGGACCCCCGCGCCGCGCCCCGCCCCGCATCCCGGCCCGCCCCGCGTCCCGGCCCGGGACCCCCGCGCCCCGCCCCGCCCCGCATCCCGGCCCGGGACCCCCGCGCCGCGCCCCGCCCCGCCCCGCGTCCCGGCCCGGGACCCCCGCGCCCCGCCCCGCCCCGCCCCGCGTCCCGGCCCGGGACCCCCGCGCCCCGCCCCGCCCCGCCCCGCCCCGCGTCCCGGCCCGGGACCCCCGCGCCCCGCCCCGCCCCGCCCCGCGTCCCGGCCCGGGACCCCCGCGCCCCGCCCCGCCCCGCCCCGCCCCGCGTCCCGGCCCGGGACCCCCGCGCCCCGCCCCGCCCCGCCCCGCGTCCCGGCCTGCGGCACCTACCTGCGGCTCGAGCAGCCCGCGCGGCGCGGCGCGGGGCGCGGCGGGGCGCGCGGCGCGGAAGGCGGAGAGCCGGGGCGCGCGGGCGGCCGCGTCGTACTCGGTGGCGAAGCGCGCGGCGCCGGCCCAGCGCTGGCACAGGCGCAGCGGCGCGGCGGGCGGCGGGCGCGGCGCGGCCCCCGCGTAGAAGAAGGCGCCGCACTCGGCGAAGCCGGGCCCCGGCTCGCGCACCAGCCGGGCCTCCCGGGGCGCGGGCAGCGCCAGCAGCGCCAGCAGCGCCGGCCAGCGCGCGGCGGCCATGGCGGGCCCGGGCGGCGGCGCTCCGACTCCGACTCCGGCCGGGCGGCGGCGCGCTCGCGGGGCCCAGGCCGCGCCCCTTCCCGCCGCCCTCGGGGCCTCCCGGAAGGCGGGGGGCGGCGCCGCGGGCCGGAGACGCGGCCACACCCCGTGCGCGGCCGGGCGGCGCGGGGGACCTGAGCCGCGCCCTCGGGCCCTCGAGATCCGAGGATGCCTGGGGATGTCGGAGACGGAGACGCTGGAGACAGGCAGCGTCCTCCCGCGGAGCCTCAGCGCCACTTCCGGTTTTCTGCTGGCTCATTGGAGATCAGAGCCTCTCGGACTTGCCCGGGCTGGCTTTGAACCGCGGTCCTCAGATCTCAGCCTCAGGCCTGAGCCTCCGGCGCCCGGCTCGAAGCTCAAATAGTTTAAAGCACAAGTTTTACCTTTTGTGAATTGTGAAAGTGGAGAGATTTTACTGGAACGGAGGGAAGTGAGTCAATTGGGGGAAATGCAGAGGCTGGATTAAATTGTGATTGGAGCGGGGTAAACACTCATGTAAAAAAGTCTTACCACAGAACGAGTTCCCACTTAGAGACTTTCCTGAAAGGAAATCGTAGCAATAGATTGTATCTTCCTTTGAAATCAAGATTCAACAAGTTAAAATATGAAGCAGATTAAGGCAGTAACTTTTTATATCACAACACAATTTTCCCCTGTTAAATCTCATCCACCCATCCATCCAAATCATCCATCTGTCCATCCATCCATCCATCCATCCAAATCATCCATCCACCCATCCATCCAAATCATCCATCCATCCACCCATCCATCCAAATCATCCATCCATCCACCCATCCATCCAAATCATCCATCCATCCACCCATCCATCCAAATCATCCATCCATCCACCCATCCATCCAAATCATCCATCCATCCAAATCATCCATCCAAATCATCCATCCACCCATCCATCCAAATCATCCATCCGTCCGTCCATCCATCCTTCTATCCATCCAAATCATCCACGTGCTAATTTGGGAACTATTTTTTTGGAGGTTCGGTCATGGGGCTGGAGCTCTGGCCTGGGCGCTGTCCCTCAGCTCTTCAGCTCAAGCCTCTCGAGCCACAGCGCCACTCCCGTTTTTCTGGTGGATTACGGTAGATCAAAGTCTCCCGGACTTTCCTGCCCGCGCTGGCCTTGAACCGCAATCCTCAGATCCCAGCATCCCGAGTAGCTGGGATGACAGGCGTGATCACCAGCACCCAGCTTTGCCAGGCTTCAGGAGGCTGAGTTGAAAACCATCGGAGGAACAGAGTTCGAGGCCAGCCTGGGCTACAGAGCCGGGCTCGGGAACAACAACAAGACGGAAGGAGTTGTGCCATGTCCTGCGAAACGAAGATGCCTAAGTCACCACCAAGTCTAGCAGGGGACCATGACTGGACAGACGAGGGACCGACGGAGGGGGATGCAGCTCAGAAGGGGCGGGGCCGGGGTGGAGTCAGAGTGTGTGGGGCGGGGCCGGAGTGGAGTCAGTGTGGGGCGGGGCCGGGTGGAGTCAGTGTGGGGCGGAGTCAGTGTGGGCGGGGCCGGGTGGAGTCAGTGTGGGGCGGGGCCGGGTGGAGTCAGTGTGGGGCGGGGCCGGGTGGAGTCAGTGTGGGCGGGGCCGGGTGGAGTCAGTGTGGGGCGGGGCCGGGGTGGAGTCAGTGTTTGGCGGGGCCGGGGTGGAGTCAGTGTGGGGCGGAGTCAGTGTGGGGCGGGGCCGGGTGGAGTCAGTGTGGGGCGGGGCCGGGTGGAGTCTGTGGGGCGGGGCCGGGTGGAGTCAGTGTGGGGCGGGGCGGGGTGGAGTCAGTGTGGGCGGGACCGGGGTGGAGTCAGTGTGGGGTGGAGTCAGTGTGGGGCGGGCCGGGTGGAGTCAGTGTGGGGCGGAGTCAGTGTGGGGCGGGGCCGGGTGGAGTCAGTGTGGGGCGGAGTCAGTGTGGGGCGGGGCCGGTGGAGTCAGTGTGGGGCGGAGTCAGTGTGGGGCGGGGCCGGGTGGAGTCAGTGTGGGGGAAGGGGGCCGGGCTCGGGCGGGGCCGCGTCCTCTCGAGGACGGAGGTCCGGTCTGCAGCCTTCTCTCCTCCCTCCTGCAGTTCCAGGGCGGGGCTCAAGTCCCGCTTCAATTCCGGAGTTCGGCGTGTCACGGCGAGCCGGAGGGGCCGGGCTTTCACCCGGCACGTACGGAGCGCGCGCCGTCCGCGCGGCCCAGCCCACGCGCGAGAAGCCAGTTCTCTCGGCGGCGGCGCCCGGCGCCACACGCCCGCCGGCCGGGGCTCGGGTCCCGCGCGCCGGGGCGGGGCCGACACTGAGGAGCCGGGCCTCCGCCGCGGCGCCCAATTCAAACGCCCGCCCCCGGCGGCGCGGCCCTCCCCGTGACGTCACGCCGCGCGCCGCCGAGGCCTCTTCGGATTGGTTGCGGCCTCCGTCCGGGCGCCGTCAAACCGCCGAGGTTTCCCTTCCGGGTCCCGGGCTGCGGTGCCGGGCGCAGAGGCTTCTGGGAGCCAGGAGCCGCCATGGTGTGTGTGTGAGGGCTTCGCGGCTGCGGCGTCGGACCTCGGCCTCGGTGAGCGGCGGGAGGTCGCGGCGTCCTCCCTGCCTGCGCGCGGGGCGGCGGGGCCGGGCGGAGGCTTTCCTTTGCTGCCTTCCCGAGCCTCCCGGGGGCCGGGCGACGCGGGCCGGGCGGCGGCGAGGACGCGGGCCGGGCGGAGAGGACGCGGGCCGGGCGGCGGCGAGGACGCGGGCCGGGCGGCGAGGACGCGGGCCGGGCGGCGGCGAGGACGCGGGCCGGGCGGCGGCGAGGACGCGGGCCGGGCGGAGAGGACGCGGGCCGGGCGGCGGCGAGGACGCGGGCCGGGCGGAGAGGACGCGGGCCGGGCGGCGGCGAGGACGCGGGCCGGGCGGAGAGGACGCGGGCCGGGCGGAGAGGACGCGGGCCGGGCGGAGAGGACGCGGGCGGCGGAGAGGACGCGGGCCGGGCGGAGAGGACGCGGGCCGGGCGGAGAGGACGCGGGCCGGGCGGAGAGGACGCGGGCCGGGCGGCGGCGAGGACGCGGGCCGGGCGGCGGCGAGGACGCGGGCCGGGCGGAGAGGACGCGGGCCGGGCGGAGAGGACGCGGGCCGGGCGGCGGAGAGGACGCGGGCGGCGGCGAGGACGCGGGCCGGGCGGCGAGGACGCGGGCCGGGCGGCGAGGACGCGGGCCGGGCGGCGGCGAGGACGCGGGCCGGGCGGCGGCGAGGACGCGGGCCGGGCGGAGAGGACGCCGGCCGGGCGGAGAGGACGCGGGCGGCGGAGAGGACGCGGGCCGGGCGGCGAGGACGCGGGCGGCGGAGAGGACGCGGGCCGGGCGGCGAGGACGCGGGCGGCGGAGAGGACGCGGGCCGGGCGGCGAGGACGCGGGCCGGGCGGAGAGGACGCGGGCCGGGCGGAGAGGACGCGGGCCGGGCGGAGAGGACGCGGGCGGCGGAGAGGACGCGGGCCGGGCGGAGAGGACGCGGGCCGGGCGGAGAGGACGCGGGCCGGGCGGAGAGGACGCGGGCGGCGGAGAGGACGCGGGCGGCGGAGAGGACGCGGGCCGGGCGGAGAGGACGCGGGCCGGGCGGAGAGGACGCGGGCCGGGCGGAGAGGACGCGGGCCGGGCGGAGAGGACGCGGGCCGGGCGGAGAGGACGCGGGCGGCGGAGAGGACGCGGGCCGGGCGGAGAGGACGCGGGCCGGGCGGAGAGGACGCGGGCCGGGCGGAGAGGACGCGGGCCGGGCGGAGAGGACGCGGGCCGGGCGGAGAGGACGCGGGCCGGGCCGGGCGGGCGGGCGGCGGAGAGGACGCGGGCCGGGCGGAGAGGACGCGGGCCGGGCCGGGCGGGCGGGCGGCGGCGAGGACGCGGGCCGGGCGGAGAGGACGCGGGCCGGGCGGGCTGGGCGGAGAGGACGCGGGCCGGGCGGGCGGGCGGCGGAGAGGACATGGGGCCGGGCGGGCGGGCGGGCGGGCGAGGGCCCGGCTGCCCCCACCGCCGCGGCCTCTCCGCCTCCCCCGGAGACGCCCGTGGCTTCCCGAGAGTCGGGACGGGGCCGGCGAGGCGGGCGGCGGCCTCGGCTCCCGGCTGGCGGCCCGGCGCCCGCGCCCGCGGATGTGCGCCGAGACCGCGGAGCCGAGCTCCGGCCGACACGCACTGGTCGCTCCCGCGGGGCGCCCGCGCCGCCGGCCGCCGCGCCTTCCCCAGCCCCGCCGCTGCCGTCCCTAGGCGGGGCGGCCTGGGACAGCCACGCGCCGAGCCCCGCACGGCCTGTCCCTGAGGAGGCAGCTCTGTGGGTCGTGAGTTTGAAAAGCCGTCGGAAGGGTAGACAGTAGCGAGTAACTCAGGAACTGTTCCTCCTCAAAGCGTAAAAGATGACTACTGCCGCCAGGCCCACCTTTGAACCGGCGCGGGGTGGAAGAGGAAAAGGAGAAGGTGACCTGAGCCAGCTTTCGAAGCAGTATTCAAGCCGAGACCTTCCTTCTCACACAAAGATCAAGTACAGGTATAGAAGATGCATCTCATCTTGTTCACCTGTTAAGTAGAATGCTCCTGATGTGTGATGTTTGAGTTCCATCTCTTAGCTGTTTTCATAGCAATAGAATGCTAGAACGTTCATGATGTATGATCATCTTTTTATAGGAATGGAGTACAAGAGCAGTTTTAGTGGTGAGATTTTGCCCTGTGATTTCAAAGTGCTGCCAGAATTTCCGTTAACCAGGAATTTCAGTACATAGGTGGAATAGTAATATTCCAGAGAGACTACACATTCTCAGCACTAGTTCACAAGTCCTTGAGTTGATACAAAAACAAAGACCAAAGGCATGGTAAGCAGTCTGCAGTCATACCATGGAACAAATATGTGATTCAGTGTGGGCTTACTGAAATACTGGAAACATCACAGTGCCTGTTAACAACATTCAGATTAGGTTATTGTTTTGTCCTCTTGTTTTATACTGGAGGAGATAGTTGCATTTGTAAATTGTCTTTTGCTATAGCCATGTGGTTTTTTTCTGTGTAGGTTGTTATACTTCTGTCCTGGTTTATTTTCTGTGTTAGACAAACTACTCAGGATGCCCCTGAAGAGGTTCGTAACCGTGACTTCAGGAGAGAGTTGGAAGAGAGAGAGCGAGCTGCTGCAAGAGAAAAAAATAGGGATCGTCCAAACCGAGGTACCACCTGTCCAAAATGTTTGTCTCATAACATCATGTGGGTTTTCTTTCATGTAGTAATCATTTGCACTTTGGTTAAATTCACTTCTTGTATTACTCTTCATGCTAATTGGAAGGGTTAACATTTTTGTATGCTGTCATACTTTTTCTCTTAAAAACTGGTGATGGTAAAATTTCTGTATTAGAATATGTAGTAACTATTTCAGCTCAAGACAAAGTGTTTCTTCTGTCTTCAGAGTCAGTTTTGCAGCTGACTGTTGGAGAGCATCTGGAAGTGTCAGTTGTATTTTTGTTACATGTCCATGTAACATGCCTATGAAAATTATTCCCTGATGGGGCTGGGAAGGTGGCTCAGTGGTAGAGCGCTTGCCTTGCATGCTCGAGGCCCTGGGTTCGATTCCTCAGCACCACAGAAACAAAAAGAAAAAAGCCGGAAGTGGCGCTGTGGCTCAAGTGGTAGAACATTAGCCTTGAGCTGAAGAGCTGAGAGACAGCGCCCAGGTCCAGAGTTTAGGGCCCACGACCAGCACCCCCCCCCCCCCCCCCCCCCCAAACAAAAACAAATTATTCCCTGAATTACCAGAGAGGCTCAGTTGTAGTAGTAATGCTTTTGTAATTTACCAGAGGCTTATGTGCCTGTCACTATGGATGTGATGTATGATCCTGCCATCGTGATGCTTTTAATACGGGCTGTTTCTATGCCTGTCCCCCTAGCACTTGGAGTTTGAGACAGGAAGATCCAGTGTTTGGGGGGCCACATAGCAAGATGTTGTCTCAATAAAAACGGAGAAAAAAGGAAATGCAGCACTTGTATCAGTAAGCTATATAACGTTGGTTTCTCCCAGAACATACAACTTCGGTGTCGAAGAAGCCTCGGTTAGACCAGATTCCTGCTGCCAACCTTGATGCGGACGACCCTCTAACAGATGTATGTTCCCGTTTCTGCTTTCATTCCTCCAGAGCAACATATTCATCATGCTTTTCTGGGGTGCTTTCTTACACTGTTAGCATTAAGTGGTGATCTATATTTATTTAATGCTATTCAGATGTATCATTGACATCATTTAACAGTGATTTTTTTTTGGGGGGGGGGTTGGTCGTGGGGCTTGAACTCTCATTTGATTTTAAGACAAAACGTTCTATTGAAAGAATATAAGACGTAAGTGTAATCTCTATAGAATCAAATAGGAGAAAGATTTGTTAGAGCACATACTTAGTTCCCAAAGACTCCGACAGGTTAGACTGCTACTACTACAAGGTACTCTCAAACTGACTCTCTGCCCCAGGCTCTTCCTCATTAGGAATGATGTTCCCTAGAGACAAACTGTGTGTATAATGGTTTCTTCTGTGCCTAAAGAGGAGGGTAACCTAGCAGGTTAACTGTTAGCACTGTAGTAGTGGAGGTGTGACTTCAGTGATAGCACCACCCTTTAGTTAGAAATTAGCACAGCAGTTAACATTAAAATTCAGTGGGCCCCAACAGTCATAAATTTGCATTTTTCTATATAACAAAATCTGAGTGGCTTACGTGGATGGCATTTATGCATGTATGTCAATAATTCTGGACTTTACAGATACAGTCCTTAAAATAAGATGCTTAATTTTATATGAAATTTAAGTATTTGAAAAAAAAAAATGCTTGTAACTGGGGCTTGAACTCAGCCTTGTGCAAATGCTTAGCTTTTTTGCTCATGGTTAGCACTCCAATATTTGAGCTATGCTATTAGTCCAGGTTTCTTGTTTTTTTAGTTAATTGAAGATAGATCTGGGAGACTTTAGCCTTCTGAGTAGCCAGGCTTCTAGGTGTGAGCCACCAGCATCTGAAAGCCACTGCACCTGCCTGGCCTCTTGGTTTGAAATTATTTTGTTTTGGAATTTATTGCCTATTTTGAATGTTTGATTGTACTTAATTACTAAATGAAAATTGCTCTGAATTGCATAAAATTATTTTGATGAGGGGCTGGGAAGGTGGCTCAGTGGTAGAGCGCTTGCCTTCCATGCATGAGGCCCTGGGTTCCATTCCTCAGCACCACATAAGCAAAAAGAAAAAAGCCGGAAGTGGCACTGTGGCTCAAGTGATTGAGGGCTAGCCTTGAGCTGAAGAGCTGAGGGACAGTGAGGCCCAGAGTTCAGGCCCCACGACCGGACCCCCCAAAAAAAATTTTGATGATGTATATGGTATAGACAATATGTTTCATTATGAAATAGCCCTTTTCTGGTTTGAATACTGTTATATGGAAAATCTTTAGGCCATGTAAACTTGCACATACTCTGATACCAGAGATTGGCATATTAAGAATTCATAAGCTTTTGTTGGATTTTATTGATTTTGATTGATTGGTTAGTGATTATAGTTATTATATTTAATTTGGTAAGCTCATTTTTATGGGAAGAAAATTAAGTGTATATCTTCTCTCCAATCTCCTGAATTGTCACTATTTTTGTTTTAGGAGGAAGATGAAGATTTTGAAGAGGAGAGTGATGATGATGATACTGCAGCACTTCTAGCTGAACTGGAAAAGATTAAAAAAGAAAGAGCTGAGGAGCAGGCCAGAAAGGTAAAGTCAAAGTGTCTTCCCATCTTAAACATTCTACAGCAAAATGTTTTTTAATCTTCAACCATAGCTTATAATTTATTTTAATTTGTCTTCCTCCATTAGAATATAAGCTCTGCAGAGTTTGCTTTGTTTATTAATACGTCCCAGCCCTTGAAACTGAAAATATTTTTTTGTTTTTGTTTTAGTTTACATCTCTTGCCTAAATGAGACATTTTGTCAATAAATTTGATAACTTCTGAATAGCCTTAGGCATTGTAATTGCATAGTGGGGTGTGGGGGAGAGGTCTAACTCAAGATTAAGAGTTGGTCTTATTATAATCCAAGCTACGCAGGAGTTTGGAGGACTATGTCTTGAAGCTAGCTTGGGCAAGGAAGTTGAGAGAGACGCTTACCTTCATTTAACCACCAGAAGCTAGAAGTGGAATTGTGGCTCAAGTGGGAGCTTCAGCCTTCAGTTTAAAAGCAAGAGACGTGAGGAGCTTTTAGACTATTACTGTATCTTACTTATCTTCAAAGCTTCTAACACTGAGTAGGAGTAAGTTAACTAAGAAAGAATTTCCAACAAAACTAAGAAGCTTAAGCTGTCATAAAAATAATCAGATTTAAAAGGCTAGGTGCTGGTGGCTCATACCTGTAATTTTTTTTTTTTTTTTTTTGGTCAGTCATGGGGCTTGAACTCTGGGCCTGGGCGCTGTCCCTCAGCTCTTCAGCTCAAGGCGAGCGCTCTACCACTTGAGCCACAGCACCACTTCCGGTTTTTTAGTGGTTTATTGGAGATAGGAGTCTCACGGTCTTTCCTGCCCGGGCTGGCTTTGATCCGAGATCCTCAGATCTCAGCCTCCTGAGTAACTAGGATTGCAGGCGTGAGCCACCTGCGCCCGGCTATACCTGTAATCCTAACTACTCAGGAGGTCAAGATCTGAGGATCACAGTTCAAAGCCTGCCAAAACAGTAGCAGGCAGTTGTTCCAGATTCTTTTAGCTTGCCTATATATTCAGAGGTAAGAAGTTTACATTCTCTGATTGGCCTTGAGGAAGGTTAAACTCTTGACATAGAAGGTCTTACAGTCTTAAGATACTTTGATCTCGCTGAACAAGGAACCATGCATTATTGGTATTTCTTGGAGTTGTCTGACAGTTTAATTTCTTTCATCTCTGTTTTTCCTTTGTTATCAGCTTTTTTTCAATGGTGTCCCAAAGGAACATTTCCAAACTGAGTAGCCTGTGTCAAGTTAATGTGTGAAGAAAGGGCTACATAGTAAATATGTTAAGCTGGGTTCTTACAGCCTGTTGGAACTATTCAACTATTACACTACAAAAACAGCCATAGATGATATATAAATGACTAGGTGTAGCTTTGTTTAGGCAGAATTTCATTCTCAAACTGAGAAAGTGGGACTATTTGGTTGTTCAGCCACTAGTGTACCTGGCATTTGACTGTGAAAAGAGATGGTTCCTTTTTTGTGGCAGTCAAATAACTAAAATAACAATGGAAGGCCAGGACCTATGTTTCACCCATTATTATTAGTAGTATCTATTGTGTACATTGTGTCCTTGAGCTACTGCTTTTCTGACAATTTGGAGAGAAATGTCTTAACGCTTTTAA